AGATGGAGCTTCACTTTGTTGCCCAGGCTGGAGTGCAGTGGCACAATCTTGGCTCACTGCAACCTCTGCCTCCCGGGTTCAAGTGATTCTCCTGCCTCAGCCTCCCAAGTAACTAGTAGCTAAGACTACAGACACACACCACGCCCAGCTAATTTTTGTATTTTTAGTAGAGATGGGCTTTCACTATGTTGGCCAGGCTGGTCTCGAACTCATGACCTCAGGTGATCCACCCTTTTCTGTCTCTCACAGTGCTGGGATTACAGGTGCTATTCAAGTTTACCACATTATAAATAGAGTTCCTTTAATTTGATCTCTCTGTTGTTGTAAGCCTTGTAGTTCACAAGAAGGTCTGGCTCCAATTTGTGATTTAGATTTACTAGGTCTGTAATATATGTTACAGGGTAACTGAAAAGAATTGCAGCCAACACAAGACACCACCCATCTGTGAATCAAAAAGGGAAAAGGTCATCTCAAGCTGTTAATGGTGAAACCACTAGATTAGTATGGATGATGCAAAAATATTCACATAGGAATAGCTAGTAGAGTCATTCGTTCCTCATTCTTTGAAGTATCATTCTGTAGGGAAACAGACAAAAGGCACTGATTTCTGTCTCACAGTACTGAATTTTGGTTAATTTAGTTCTGGTGGTTTTCATATTTCTAATATCTTATAAGAAATCCCTGTTTAGGCCTGGCACAGTGGCCCACGCCTGTAATCCCAGCACTTTGGGAGTCCGAGGCGGGTGATTGTCTGAGGTCCAGAGTTCGAGCCCAGCCTGGCCGCATGGGGAAACCCCGTTTCTACTAAAAATGCAAAAAAAAAAAAAATTAGCTAGGTGTGGTCGCAGGCACCTGTAATCCCAGTGACCCAAGAAGCTGAGGCAGGAGAATTTGCTTGAAATTGGGAGGCAGAAGTTGCAGTGAACTGAGATCGTGAACTCCATCCTGGGCAACAGAGTGAGACGTCATCTCATAACAAAAAAAGAAAGTGCCTAGTATTTCTCTGAAGTTGAAGAAAAGGTAGAAAGTGGTTTATATATATATATACACACACACGTGTGTGTGTGTGTGTGTGTGTGTGTGTGTGTATGCTTTTTTTTTTCTTTTTGAGTTGAAGTCTCGCTCTGTTGTCCAGGTTGTAGTACAGTGGCTCAATCTCTGCTCACTGCAACCTCCACTTCCCAAGTAGCTGGGATTACAGTCATGTGCTATCGTGACCAGCTCATTTGTGTATTTTTAGTAGAGACAGGGTTTTGCTTTGTTGGCCAGGCTGGTCTCAAACTCCTGACCTCAAGTGATCTGTCTGTCTTGGCCTCCCAAAGTGCTGGGATTACAGGCATGAAGGCAACGCACTTGGTTACATTTCACAGAATAAATTGTTTCTTAGTGCTGAAACATTGCTTGTATGTTAAGAAAATTCAGAGATATTTTAATCGTCTGTAGAAATAATAATGCTTTGAAAATCGTCTGCATGCTATGCATTTGCTTTTCATAGAGAGTTTTGGGGCCCCTTTTTAGGGAAGATTAACCTTTTTGTTGTAATTGCCACTAGCAGCAAGTACATGATGGCATATGTTGAGAGCTGTTTTCTCTTTGTTTTGGTTAGACATGGTCCCCTTCCTAAGAGCTGATCTCATTTGGAGGGAAATGAGGGACCAAGTACAGTATTCACAGTCCACCAGTTGGAACTGAACCCATAGCCCAAGGTGTTTAAGAAGAAAAAGGCTGGGCACGGTGGCTCACCCCTGTAATGCCAGCACTTTGGGAGGCTGAGGCTGGCAAATCACCTGAGGTCAAGAGTTGGAAACCAGCCTGACCAACGTGGAGAAACCCTGTCTCTACTAAAAATACAAAATTAGCTGGGCGTGGTGGCGCATGCCTTTAATTTTAGCTACTCAGGAGGCTGAGGCAGGAGAATCACTTGAACACGGATGGCGGAGGTTGCAGTGAGCTGAGATCATGCCATTGCACTACAGCCTGGGCAACAAGAGTGGAAAAATAAAAAAAGAAAAAGGAAAAAAAAATGTAGACATGGTGCTAATGGACTGTGTGATAGAACATCATCATTAATTATGAGTTTCTGTCTGGACTATGTGGACTTGAAGTAGCCAGGCTCTACTGTCCTGGAGGAATGGTTTTTAATCTTTTTACCCTTTGAGAAGTGGTAAAAAAGGATGTATAGGTGCATTTTTTTCTCCCCATTCTGTTCCTGGAGATTTGTAGACCTTCTGAAACTCATTCATGATCCCTAGCCTGAAAGGATTCGCCAAGACAGAGGAACCAGGTCAGATTTTTATAGGAGTAGAAAACAGGTTGAATAAAAGGATCCTGTACAAGAATACCAATTTTCCATAAGGAATAATAATTGGGTTTAGTTGGAGCAAAGGTTTTCAGCAAGCTGGTTAGACGAAGGTTGTGATTTGCCAGTATCCAAATTAAACTAATGCCATAAACTCAGGGACAGGCCCTCTACTTTGTCATGGGACAATCATTGAAAGAGAACGTACTCTGAACCTGATATGGCCTAATTCATCAATCATTTGGTCATCTGCAACAGTGAAGACCAACTTGGAGGGGAGGAAGAAAATTGGGTTGGATAGATAGATGTGTAGCTGGAGTGATTATTAGTCGTATGGTCCATTGTGACAATAAAGGGTAACTCCAAGAAATACTCTGAAATGCATAGATTTGATATTTAAAATAGTTGTGTGAGGTAGAAATTGGATTATCCAGATGGAAACAATCTTCAGAGTAGGATGTGTGGACCTAACTAAGGAGAACTTGTGAGAAGGGAACTGGAAATGCCAGTTATTCATTCGCAGACAGTAATCACAGTTGACTGTACAGCTGTTCAGGTTTAGCTTATTGCTGTACTTCTGTCCTCTGCTGTGCTGAATTCTGCTGCCCAGGGACTTGAGCTTGGCTCAGTACTCAGTGAACATACTATCTTCTGGGCCAGTGCTTTAGCTGTGTTGTTTTGTCCTGTGCTGTCATAAGCCTCATGTTTCAGTTGTGTTGGCTTGGGTTCTTGTCTTTGACTTTCTTCTCTCTGGGGGCCTCTGCACTCTCGCTTTGCTGTGCTGTAGAGTTATCCCAGATGCAGAACCAGCCCTCACTCTCACTCTTGTTCTGTTTTTTGGTGTAATGTCTAGCTTTATTTGCAGCTCCTTCAGCAGACTGCCTCCTCTGGGAACCTCAACACCCTGAGCAGCCTCCACCCAATGGGAGGTAAGTGTTTCACTACTGCAGAGGAGCAGCAGCACCCAGGCCAGCAGACCCAGCTAACAACAGTCTTGAGAGTTTGGCATCGTTTCTGTGAAAACATTTTTTTGCTCATTATGTAAACCTGACCTAAGATGAACGTCCCAGGACTCAGTTGCCTTGTCTCTATACGGTGGCTCTATTGCTAGTTGATGCCACATTGCTCTGACGTTATCTGCTGCCTCCTAACCTTTTAGGTCACTGTTGGAGAAGAATATGGAAAAGAGCTGTTTGGCTTCTGTAGACTGAGGCCATTCTGATAAGGGGAAAAAAACTGCAAGAACTCTTTATCTCCATTATTAAGTGACTTTTCCAATGACTGCCGAAAAGCCAAAGATGGCTTCCATGCAAATGGCCTACCTTGAAACTTCTAGAACCCAGGCAGTTAGTTTACCTATGTGTCTTATACTTGTTTCTTAGGTGAATTCCTGTTTTGTTGTTGCTATTAACATACACAGAAAACTTAAATGGAGTACCACAACAAACCTGAGCCAGGGGCCATCAGGAGTTGGTGGTGGGGGAGGCCATGGGGCAGCTCCAAAGCTGCCTGTGCCTACACCCTCTGCATTGGATTTAGGTTAGGCCAAATGCATTTGAGAAAGGCATAGTCTTCAGTGAACTGCGTTTTGCTGTTGGAAAATTTCTGATAGCCATTCACTTTGTCTCGGGAAATTATAGTTGGCTATATTTTTGGAAAGTTGCTAGATTGTAACCTGTGTTATATTTTCATTCTCATTTACTCTTTCCACTCCCCTCACCCCTCACTCCTCACTCCATCACTCTTTTGTCTGGTAAATGGTTTGCAACATGGTTAGCACAGTTTAGGTTTCTTCTTCCTCTTTCAACTGTATTGCTTGCCTAGGCTCTACTTGGAAGTCTTTCACTCAGTGATTTTTTCCTCTCTCCTGTTTCTGGTGATGAATCTGCTATTCAAGTGGAAGTATCTTTATTCTTTGTCTCATTGCTGCTCTCATGTGTTCTCCTTTGTTTCCTCCTGGGCATTTGCGTCTCTGCTACATTTTCTGTGTGTTCTCCTCCATTACAGAGAGCAAATCCCCTGTAAAGGGTGAGTGAGGGGCCTGGATGCAGTCCCATCCTGTGTTATAGGTTTTGGCATTGTTCTCCTGTGTTCTGGCCCCATGGTAGTCAGTTTTTCTTGGTTTCCTAATTGCTCACATTTTATTAATGTACGCTTGGGGTGGTTTGCTATTGAATTAACATCTCTTCTCTGAGGAAATGGTTTCAAGTTTCTTAATGCGTGATATCTGAATCTTTTTTGGAGCCCTGTAATATTGTTTGTAACAGTGTCTAGAACATTTCCTCTTTGTCAGGGACCAGCCCTCTGCCAGTGTGTGCTATCGTTGCTGGAATGGATTTATGAGGCACCCTTATTTGCTGGCTGATCCCTTGCTTTGGATGTTGCAGGGTTGAATGCAATGCAGTTACAGAATTTGGCTGCACTAGCTGCTGCAGCTAGCGCAGCTCAGAACACACCAAGTGGTACCAATGCTCTCACTACATCCAGCAGTCCCCTCAGCGTGCTCACCAGTTCAGGTAAGCATGTAATAGGGCCCAGTGTGTCATTCTGTGCCTTGGACAGATCCTTTCTGTTTAAAGGCAGAGTCCAGAGAGAGAAAGTAGTTAATACCTGTTTCCAGAGAGGTCAGATTACGAGCAACAAATTTTCAAATGTCATCTTCTGGACTTCAGAGAAATCTTCCTGATTTTTAATGTGCTGTGGCCATTATTTGTCTCTGTGTCCCCTGCAAGGACAGTTATTAGAATTAGTAACTGAAAACCTCTTTGCAAATAGCATACTTGGATAGTGTCAGTCTTTCTTGTGTTTGGTTCTTGTTGACAAGACAATGTAAGTGATGGGTTGAATTTTAACTCCTGGATTTCTAATAGCAGGGTCTTCACCTAGCTCTAGCAGCAGTAATTCTGTCAACCCCATAGCCTCACTTGGAGCCCTGCAGACATTAGCTGGAGCAACGGCTGGCCTCAATGTTGGCTCTTTGGCAGGTAAGGGGCAGCCCCTGGCTGTCATCAGACCATTCTTTGTGCAGATAGCACATCTTAAACAACCCTGGTAGGGGCACCACTGGAATTATTGCAGTGGCCCAGTGAAGTTAAAAACAATCATGGGATTTTGAATCAGGCCTAAGTTAAATCCCACCTCTGCCCCTTAGCTAGCTCTAACTTTGGACTACCTTTCTAAGAACATTTTCTCATCTTGGAAGTGGGAATAATAGAATACTTTGAAGGGTTGTTAAAAATTAAATAAGGCCAAGTGCAGTGGCTCACACCTATAATCCCAGCAGTTTGGGAGGCCAAAGCAGGAGGATCACTGTAGGTCAGGAGTTCAGACCAGCCTGAGCAATGTAGTGAGACCTCCATCTTTATAAAAATTGGCTGGGTATAGTGGTGCATGCCCTGTAGTCCCAGCTACTTAGGAGGCTGAGGCTGGGAGGATTGCTTGAGCCTGGGAGCTTGAGGTTGCAGTGAGCTATGATTGCACCACTGAACTCCAACCTTGGTGACAGAGTGAGACTCTGTCTCCAAAAAAAAAAAAAGCATAGATAAAGTGCTGCTGAGTACCTCGCATAGTACAGTGGCTGGCACATAGAATGTACTCAGTACCTGTTAGCTGCTCTTTTAATGGTAGGGTTCTCCCACATCTTGTCATAAATCATATGTGCCCCTTTGAGTTCATAGTCCTGGGACTCTTCTTTTATGACATTCTAGCTCAGTATGAGAAAGTGGCATTACAGCCAGATAGAAAATGGAGCCTGTCACTCCACAGATTGGATAAAGGTAATGGGGAGCACCGCACCCTGGTATGGCATTTCTTAATGTCTCCATTAGCAAGGCCCGCTGAATGTCCTGAAATCTAACCAGTCAGATAGGTTCTTCTCCTCAGGGAGAAACGAGGGAGATGAAGGGGAGAACTCGGGAGTTTTCCCTCTTCTAGATGTCCCTAAGTGGACTTGTCTTTAGCATCAGTTTAATCTTTCTTGTATATTAATCTTTCTCTTCCTCCAACCAAGGAATGGCGGCTTTAAATGGTGGCCTGGGTAGCAGTGGCCTTTCCAATGGCACCGGGAGCACCATGGAGGCCCTCACTCAGGCCTACTCGGGTATCCAGCAATACGCTGCTGCTGCACTCCCCACTCTGTACAACCAGAATCTTCTGACACAGCAGAGTATTGGTGCTGCTGGAAGCCAGAAGGAAGGTGAGTGTAAAGGGAGATCAGTGTCAGGCATGGGGGTATTCTTCCTTCTTTACCAGAACTGAAAGAGCAAAGGCCGAGGGAAGCAGCTAGGTTGTCAGACCAGTGTCTTTTGTTGTTATTGTTTTTTGACAGGGTCAAGTGTAGACTGAGAAACTCTGAAGTGTGAGATCTGCTTTTGAAATGTTTTCTGGATGTGGCTCAGATCAGAACCTCTGTGGGCCTTCTTGGGACTGGGCTGCAGGTTTTAGATGAAGGAACAGACTGACCTTATCGTATCTGACACATTTGACAAGAATCTGTTTTTGTTAGAAAGTCTTCTCTATGAATTACAGATCTATCAGAGGATCTTCTGTCTGGATGTCTCCTGTCTCAGTGTCCCTTTTAGGTATATCATTTGGCATTTTCCTCACTTTGTGATTTATGTTTGTCCTGATTGAAGGCAAACTGAGGGGTGATGGGACAGAGTTTGGCCCATGAGTTGATGGAGTGGGAAGTATGTCGTTTGACACAAATGGTATTCAATTTAGGAGAAAAAAATTAGGAGAGACTGTCTAGCCAAAAAGAGGCCTGAAGGTGACTTATATGAATAGAAAGTCCTGCTGACACCTTTATGCTCAGATTTGACTGGCGTTTTATAACCAGGAGCTGGTATAAGCACTAATGTGGGAAAGAGATGAGCGTCCTCTTGCCACAGCAGAAAGAAGTCCTGGTTCATCTCCCCTCACCTACTCGGAAACACTTATATCCCCTAGGGATATGGTAGTGGGAGAATGTAGCGTGAACCAATATTTTAGTGGAGACTGTGGATACAGACAATAAATAAATGAAAGCATGAGGTGTTGCATGATCCTCTGGAGAATGACAAGCAGAGAAGAAAGGGAGTGCCAGAGGCACTGCATTTTATCCAGAATGCTCAGATAATGTCTCTCTAAGTTGACATTTAAGCAGAGAACTGAAGGAAGTCAGGAAGCAAGCCATGCCTGAATCTACAGAAGAGTGACGGGCATAGGAACAGCAAGTGCCGAAGCCCTAAGGCAGCAGTGTTCCCTGATGTGTGTGACAAAAACAGCGAGGCCAGGGTGGCTGGAGGATGGTTGGACTGCAATTGTAATAAAACTTTTTGGTTGGAAAATCATTGAGTCACACGAAGAATGTGTATTCTGTTTTCAAGCTCAGTGTGAATTATGGGTGCATTTTTAAAACTAGAATTTCTTTTTACTGAAGCCCAGTATACATATGATGAAACTCACTGATTTTGGCAATATGAGTATTGACAAACAGACCAAGTCCTGCAACCGTCACCACAGATTTAGAACATTTCCATCACCCCTAGAAATTCCCTGTGCCCCTCTGTAGTCATTCCCTGCGTCTACATCTTGCCTCTGGCAACTGCCAGTCTGTTTGCTGTCCCTGTGGTGTCTAGGCACTATTTGGAAACCTGTTTGTTCCTAACCCCTTTTTCTGCTGTGTTCCTCTGTGAGCCTGCAGTCTCTGTTCTGCTCCACACACAAGTTGGCCTGCTTTATTATCCCAGCACTCCCTCCTCCCGCAGGTAGAATTCTCACGTCCTCAGTGAGATGGAGCTTGGCTGAATGTGAGGGAAGGAATCTATTTTAATGTTTGCCCCTTGGTTCCTTGCTTTGTATTTAGAGAATCTGTTTAGTTCCCCAGATAAATCTCTATTTTTGGGGATTGTGACAGCTTTAACATAGGTAGAAATCAAAGACCACTGGTGCAGGGTGGCAAGCATGTTTGATACTGATACCTTTCCAATGACTGGGTGTTTTGAAGGTCCAGAGGGAGCCAACCTGTTCATCTACCACCTGCCTCAGGAGTTTGGCGATCAGGACCTGCTGCAGATGTTTATGCCCTTTGGGAATGTCGTGTCTGCCAAGGTTTTCATAGACAAGCAGACAAACCTGAGCAAGTGTTTTGGTATGTTGGCTTCTCTCTGGTGTCAGGGTGGGATTAGTATTTTACCGCTGAGAAAGGGAGAGCTAACTGCAGAAAGAGCTGGATATGAGTTTGGGCTGTTTTAATTTGGCCATGGGTAGGTCAGATGACCTCTTCTTGGGCTTCAGTTTTCTCATTGCTGTAGTGGAGGTAAGGATTCCTACCCACTCTGTTGCTCCAGAGAGAAAAATAATATACAGCAATGGTTTGCAAAACACCTTAGAACAGTCCAGGTTTGTGCCTGTAAATCCCAGTACTTTGAGAGGCCAAGGCAGGAGGATCGCTTGAGCCTAGGAGTTCAAGACCAGCGTGAGCAACAGAGATAGACCTCGTGGCTACAATAAATTAGTTAGGCATGGTAGTGTGTACCTGTGATCCCAGCTACTCAAGAGGCTGAGCTGAGAGGATCACCTGAGCCCAGGGGGCCAAGGTTGCAGTAAACCATGGTCACACCACTGTACTCCAATCTGGGTGAGACCCTGTATCAAAAAAAGAAAGAAAAAACCCTTAACCACGTAGATGTTAAGTGGTACTATTAGGAACCTAATTTCTTTGATATGATATAATTTCCAGATTTCTTGTGCCTGCTGAATAAAATTGGGGTTTGAGATTAAGCACGTAAGGTATCTTGCATAAGGAGGACTGAGAATCTCCTTGCCTCATTATGTCCCTCACCTAGGTTTCTGCTTGGACACACAGGTTTTGTAAGTTACGACAATCCTGTTTCGGCTCAAGCTGCCATCCAGTCCATGAACGGCTTTCAGATTGGCATGAAGCGGCTTAAAGTGCAGCTCAAACGTTCGAAGAATGACAGCAAGCCCTACTGAGCGTGCTCCCCTCTAAGACTGGAGTGAGAGGGTCTTCTGGTAAGTTGGGGAGGAGCACCCTTAATGATTCGAAGCCCTGAGGCTGTGTGCTGATAGCCCTGGACCCTGATCCCTGCCACTCTCGCAGGCACAGCTTGCCCTGAAGACTCGGCTACTGCCTTCTGTGGGAGTTTCGCTTCGTACAGAGGACAAGTTTGTGCTTTGGTTTCCAGTGTTTTACTTTGGAGTTTAGGTGCCATATCCTGAGTTTTTTTTTTTGTTTTTTTTTTTTTTTTTTTTTTTAAAGTTTGCTGTGTTTGTAATCAGTGTGTGTTGAGAAGGACCAACACCAAACCACCCTGGGGAAGGGGGACAGGGAAACATTTAACACAGACAATGATTGGGATTTGCCCCAAACCACCCTGAAAGAGGACTGAGTGGAACAAAAAAGTGACCCCCAGAACCTCCCTTAATGTGAGGGTGGGTAGGATGAGAACTGGCATCTTGGAGCTGTGGGGAGCAGAGCGGCTTTGGAGGACAGTGGGAGTGACTAGACACCTAATGCCTGGCAACCAGAGGCTCAAACTCCTGCACAGCTGCCTTCTGGGAAATAGTTTTTGACACCGATATCTCAGATTCTTGTCCAGAATTTCTGCTGCTCTTTTCAAAAAAGGGCATTAACAATTCTCTGGAAATAAAGCACCTGTTAGCCTGACATACGCAAAAAGCAGGGCGGCATCACCCATTACCAGCTCCCCCAGCCAGCAGTCGGTATTGGATTGGCCCAACCTGGCTGGTGGCAGTTTGGGAGAAGCAGCCAAAGAGGTCATTTTAGTTTATTTCAGCACGAAATTAGACCATGGCCCATTTCCAAAAGGTCTCTTTAAAGAAGGCCTCTATGGAATACATTGCCTGGTTCCCTTCCTTGCAGTTCACCACAGCAAGGAATGTCACCTCAATCCCAAGCCACAATTTTCTCATGAGGGCAAATCCAAGAAGGGCTTGCAGTTCTTGCTGAAGTGGGTAGGTACCACTTCTGGGCAGAGTGATCAGTGCCATCTAGGTGGGGGAGGAGGAGCTTGTTTCTTGTTGTACTTGAAGCAGAAGGATCCCTGTAAGCCAGAATGCTGCATTTGCCGTGGCCAGAAATCCTCCCTTGCCTCTTTGAGGTGTCCCAGATGTAGTATTCCCACAGAGGTCTGGCAGGCCCCTCCTGTAACCACTCCAGTCACATTTTCTGCTCTTGAGGCAGAGGTGACATCAGGACGTTTACAGCCTCCACATGAGTTGAGTGTTCATTTACCTCAGTATTACCGTGTTCATTTTTGTCCTCGTGCTACAGTTAGCTCCCTGCTGCCTCCCGCAGGTCTCACTTCAGCTCTTGCCTGTGACCCACACAGCTTCGGGGCTCTGCCTCTGCTCCAAGAAGTGCTGTGGGGGTAGAGAGCCGGGAACGACATGCTGTTGGGAATGTACACCTGGGCAGAGGTGGCCCTGTTAAGATATGACTATAGCCACTGCCAGGGATGGGATCCCTGGGTCTCTGGAATCTGAAACCTCACAAATACCAGTCTTGACCCCTAGCAGCAGAGATAAGAATAAAGGGGTTGGTTTGCTATTAAGTCAGATGGGGGCTCTCTCCTTGTCATGCTGTCCCTGTGGGTAGAAGACAGGGATTGACCATCTTGCTGTTGTACAGGTAGCTGGTGGTGTTGGATTATCCCATTGAAGCTGGGACAGCTGTTCCTTTCTCATAGTGATAACTTGGGTCTGTTGTCCTCTAAGAAACGTGAAACATACACTTCTTAAGCTGAACCACGTAAACTTGAATTCTGCGCACTGGGAGAAATGTGTCCTGTGTTTCAAAGGATAAAACTGTTCTAAAGGCTTCCAGGGTCATGATGGGATTTTTTAAATAAATGCAAAAAATAAAAATAAAAAAGAAAAAAGAAAACAAAAAAAAAAAAAAGAAAAAAAATGCTAGGTTGGGGAGGCGCTGTTCTGAATCCCAACCGGCTGGAACCAAGAATGTCGTTTCTATTTTTATAGAAGTTTTATACAGCTCCGGGGTGGAGAATATTTATTACCTAAATTATATCTCTGGAAAAGGCCAGGATTTTGTAGAATCCAGAATGTGATTGTTGTACACACAGGGTGCTGTGTATGATTGAAACTACTGACTTTCTGTGGCCCGTTTGCAGCCCAGCTAACCTGCCCAAGGGGAAGGTGTTAATGCTGTGAATTGGCAGAGGAGAGAGCTGTGCTCCACAGGGTGCTGCCGGCGCTGTGCTCCCTAGCCTTCTGTTCTGTCTTCCTCCTCAGCCAGAACTCCACTCCCTCCCCACAGCCCCCTCTTCTCTCCGCCTTCCCCCACCTCACTATTATTTGTCCATGGATTTGTCCTGGGCTCTGGGACCTTATGAAACCCCTTTCCTAATGACATAAGAGGCCAAGGTACAATCCACCCACCTTTGATACCAGACCCCAAGGCTTCATACCTGCTGTTGGGTTCTCTTTTCTAAAAGGAAGACTTGCCCCAGCAGGGGCCTGGGCTGCTCGAGCAGCCAGCTGGTGAGACCATGCACTTCTCTCTTATTTCCTCCCCCTGCCCAGTGAGTTAGCACAGCAGTAGCACTGCCCTTGAGCACAGTTCTTTCCCCAGGCCAAAGATGGTTTTGTGAAGAAGCTGCTCCCCTACAACTCTCACGTGTGAAAGGGCTCAGCTCAGAGAGTGGAGACTCGCAGTCAAGTCTTAAGCAATCTTTTTCTGTTGTGTGAAGGTTTCACTTACAATGTGTTTTCTGCTGTAGTTTTGTTTCTTACTCGGGTTACATCATGAAATTGATTTGCCTTGAATGCAGCCAGACCACTGTCTCCTGGGTTCCACTTGAGTGGCCAGGGCCTGGGTGGAAGCTAAGAGCTTGGATTTCTGGGAACAAAGGGCCATCCCCATAGGATTGAGCAGAAATTCTGGCCCTCTTCCCTGAAAAATTTTCCCCACCCCAGCCAGCATCTTCTGCTTCTCCTTGGGTTGTGACCAGGGAGTGGGGAGAGAGGCTGAGGCTCTGCTCCCCCAGAGACCTTCTTTTCTTAGGAGTTGGGCACTTCAGGGAAAATCCAAGCCTTAGGTTCCCTTCTGTCTCTGGCAATTAGATGTGTTCTTGATGTCCTCCATGTCCTTTTTGACTTTTCCCTGTGTCCATTGTTAGCATGTGCAAAAGTTCCCTGTCATTACCCAACCCCTGCCCGCCCACCTCATTTCAGGGCTGTACACACAGTGAGTGTTCTGTTCTCTCTCTCTTTGTTTGGATGTATTGCTCTGTGTAACTCAGTGGGTCTCCCTCTTTCTGGTTTGTTTTTTTTTCTAGATTCCTGCCGTTTGTTCATCGTTGTGCCTAAAGCATGTCGATGTGGCGTCAAGTACATCGTCCAAATCCCTGTCTCTTCAGCTTCTCTGATGCTTGAACTCTCACCTTTGACCTTGTGTTGACCTTTGATGCTGACGTGTATTTTTATTATGTTTGTTTCTTTCTTCGTTTTTTTTTTCTTTCCTTTTTTTTTCCCTTTTGTGCTGCCAAATTGGTTTTGCTAGAACGACTGCTGAAGGGGAAATATTTAAACTTGCATTTGAATATAAAAAAATCTATTTTTCTAGAACTTCATAAAATAACCACTTGATTTTGTGATTCCAATTCTTTGTAATTGTCTTCAGAGCAGCCCTACTAGCACATACCGCGTGGTGTTTGTATTTCTGTGAACACACAGCCAGTCCGTTTCTAGGCTTTGTTTCTCTGTGTGCTTAGTTTTAAAGACAACTTTGAAGTAAACAATGAAATAAAAGATGTCACTAAAACCTTTGAGGCTCCTGAGCACATTTTGCTGATATAGTCTGTGGGGCTTGAGGAGACCGCATGTATTGTTCTTTCTTTTGTTTTTCTTCTGAGTTCTCAGCTGCAGAAAGCACCTGAACCCCCTTTCTTCCTTTTTGACTGCAGGCTGCAGTTTGGGCCCCAGCCAGCCCTTTTTCTTTTGTTGTTCTTCCCTGGAGCGACTCTGCGGGGAGCCCTGGATCCCGCTTGCCCCTTCCCCTCAGCCCCATGCTTGTTCCTACAGTCTCCACAGCAAAATGTGATGCTTTGATTTTTTGTTGTTTTTGTTTTTGTATTGTTTTTGTGTTTTTGTTTTGGATTTTTTCCTTTCCTACTAAGATTATGCCCAGAAAAAACAAGTTTTGCATGTTTCCTGCTGTTTCTTCACACCTTCGTATATATCACCTTCACCTCTCTGTTTTCTATAGTTTGTGCAAAAACTGACCGATTTAAAAGGGTTTCAAAGAAGCTGTTTTAAATTGTTGTAGGGTTGATTATTTTTTTCAAGATTGTATTGTTTTATTTTGAAGTGGCAACTTTCTCCTCTATTGCCCTTAGAGTGTTTGCCTGTGCACTTAGACTGTCACTTCGTGTGGCCTCCAGGTCTCAGCCGGGCGTCCAGGAGGCTGGCTGCTCTGCTCAGAGAGGGTGGGAAGGGGGCCTGGAGAGACACAAGAAGCAGAGGTAGAGCCCAGAAGGTGGCAGCGGGTGGGCAAGAGGCTTATTTAGCGCATTAGGGGCAGTGGGCACCCGGAGGAAGGAGGGTGCTCCCAACCACCCGTAGGAGGCCATATGCGCACCAAGCGACAATGCACCTGCTGGTGCTTTTCCTAGGTGACAAGCACAATACTACAGTCTTCACACTGTTTACAGCCCTGGGCACCAGCCAACCCCGCACTGCTCTTACTTAGCTAGTGGGGTAGGGGGAAAGGGCAGGTATTTGTTTTTTAAATTGGGTCTGTGAAGAGCCAAACAGCTACTGTCCCTGGGTGCCAGGCAAGCCAGTTTTTTGGTTCCCTGAGGGAAACTGACCCTCTTCTCTTGTGGCACCATCCAGCCTCAGGGTCTTGGAGACTTGAGTAAGAATGTGAGTGGAGGGGGAGAGGCGAGGAGAGGAGAGGTCACAGGGTGGATCTGTGGAGGGAAGAGGTTACAGGGGGAGGAGCTGATGATAGATCCCACCCAGACCTAAGCTGCTGGTGGGTGGGTGAGCTGCAAAGTAGGACTGTCCAGGGAAGGGTGGAGAGATGTAGCTAGGGGCTGGGTAGAAGCGCTGTTGAGCATCCTCCACGCCAAGATTGGTGAAGGAAGGGATCCCAGCAGGGTTTCTGCTCTGGGACTGGCAGGTTGCCTGGTATTATGCCCAAGGCCACTCTGCCTAGGGGAACGGGCAGCCAGGTGGAGGCTTAGTGTCTGGTAGGCTGCTGAATTTCCTGGAAGGGGTGATTGGATGGAAAGAGGCCAGAAACCCCAGCCTGAGAGACTGCTGTGCGCCCCACAGTCTGACTGCACAGAGCCGCCTCTGTTGGCAGGAGGCGCTGAGGCTCCCCTTCCTGCGTATTGAGAAGCTCTGTTTGCCAATATATTTTGCTTTCAATTCCAAGAGGAGCTCTGGGAAAACCTGTGGATAAAACCAAATGCCAAATGTTGGACGTTGTTTCCTTTTCCTTTTCTCTCTGATTGTTTTAATTGTTCTGTGGTGGTTTTAATGGATTTGAGACCCTGGAGCGGCAGCTGCCTTTCTGATTTCCAGCTGCTTTTTGTGAATAATTTAAAAAGAAAAAAAAAAAGAAACTTTACATTTTGGAGACAAACCTGTGTGAGTTTTTTATTGGTACAAACGTTGTATTTAACACTAGGGGTTTTGTACAGTTTTTTGCCTTTTCTACTAGAAAACAATGTAAAGTGATTTCACAATGTGAAGAGAAAAAAAAATTGCCACTATGACCAAACGCACAGTCTGTTCTGCAGCAACAACGGGATTCAATCAACTCAGTCGTGATTCAGCCGTAGAAATGCTTTTCCTTTACCTTGTTTGAGCTTTTCCTTTCTTTTCTGTTTTGATTTGCGAAGAAAATGTCTTTTTTGTGTGAACTTGTGTTGTACTCTGTAGAAAATTATGGATTTTACTTTAATGGTTTAAAAAAAAAAAAAAAGGCAAGAAGAGCCCTTATCGCTTTTCTTAACCTAATCACAGAGTTTGTGTAGTGAATTTAAAAAGAAAAAAAATTGTTACAAGTTTGGAGCAAGGGAGTATGTGTTTCAAAGGAATCTCCTTCCTTTTTTTGTGTGTTTTTCCTTTTGTCCCAATGGGGAACCTAAATCTGTTTTAATTGCACAGACACACGGACAAAAAGTCATTTTGTATCTGCCAAGTGTGGTACCTTCCTTTGTTTATTTGCTATTAAACTGTTTGAGAAGAACTGATGTCTTCAGAGTTACTGATTGTTGGGGTGGGCGGTGGGCCCTTGGAGCGGGTAGGGTTGCCGTGTTCCTGAAGAAGGAGTGTGGGTGCCTGTAAGACTTCATTTTGATACACCTGAAGGTGTGCATCCTGAAGGAAAGTATAATTTCTCCCCAGAAAACCACTTTCCCTGTCTTTTTGTATTCTCCAGGATTCCTACTTATATGGAAACTTTTTTTTTTTAATGGAAACATTTGAACTTTTCTGCCAACCTTAGTTTTTGAGCTTCTGTTCTTGGCTGCTCCCTGAATTCAGGCAGTAAAGAAGCCCCATACTTGGTTTAGCCAAGTGTCTCCCAGACTGGATTCTGTTTGCTGTCTACTTGTCCCCAAAAAGAAGGGGCAGCTTGGGGTTTTGAGAAGATTTTGTCTGCCAAGTTCTGCATTTGAGTGTTTCTTTGTTCATGTCCCCATTTTTATTCATTAAAAGTGTTTAAAAATAAGAACCTATATGCAAATAATTATCCTAGCTAATGTTGATTGTTTACCACAATCAGGCGTTCAGGATACACGTGATATCCACTACATGTTCCAGTGTTTATATTATCCCTGGGAAGTACCTAGTGTTCCCATCCTCATTTTCAGATGAGCAAACAGGTTAAAAGAAATTGGGTTGCCTACTAGAAAGTGGTGTGCACTGGGAATCAAACCAGGTTGCCCAACTCCTGAGCCATTTCTCCTAAGCACTACGAAACAGAATTCAAAAGCCGGGCTGGGCATGGTGGCTCATGCCTATAATCCAAGCACTTTGGAGGCCAAGGCAGGCGGATCACCTGAGGTCAGGAGTTCAAGACCACCCTGACCAACATGGTGAAACCCCGTCTTTTTAAAAAAAAAAAAATTCAAAAGCCAATAAATGTGCAGTAGTTAACCTGTGTCTCATCACAGATGATTGCTCTCTGTCCTCTAGGCCCCAGTGAGAGGAGCTTAGAGGACCCATGGCTTTTGTGGCTCCCCTGGGAGGTGACTCACTGCAGCTCCTTAAAGTGGCCGTTCTGGTGTTTGAGAGGTTCACTGGTAACTGGTGTGTCAGCAGGCTCCTGCAGGGCACTGTTGCCTGTGGGGAGGGGTGACTCCCAAAAGGCATTCCTTTCCAGACTCTCACCTCACTAAACCTGGGACCAGCTCAACCACTGTTTACCTGGTGTCATTTGTTTTTATTGTTGCAAAATCAAATTTGCCATTTTAATCACTTTTAAGTATAATTTCTAAAAATTTTGTTTTACTTTGGAATATAGATTCAAGTTGCCCTGAATATATACTCCCTATGATTTTATAATTTACTGCCATTAAACACATTCACAATGCTTCTGTAATCATCAACAGCTAATTTTTTATTATTTTTGAGAAAGGGTCTCACTCTGCCACCCCGACTGGCATACAGTGGCACAGTCATTGCTCACAACAGCCTCAGCCGCCCCAGGCTCAGATGATCTTCCCACTTCAGCTTCCTGAATAGCTGGGACTTACAGGCATATGCCATCACGCCTAGCTAATTTTTGTATTTTTTTGTAGAGACAGGTGTCGCCATGTTGCCCAGGCTGGTCTTGAATTCCTGGGCTCAAGCAATCTGCCTGCCTTAGCCTCCCCAAGTGCTGGGATTACAGGCGTGAGCCACCATGCCCGGCTCCGTTACCACCTAATTTTGTGAATCAACTTGAAATGTACTTTTTTCAGCTTCATTCTGATCCACTGATATTTGTGAAATAAATTTGGTATAATTATTACATTTAAAATACACATTAGCGGGTCTCAGTGGCTCACACCTGTAATCCCAACACTTTGGGAGGCCGAGGCGGGAGGAGCAATTGAGACCAGCCTGGACAACAGAGTGAGATCCTGTCTCAACAAAAAATAAAATTAGCCAGGCATTGTGGCATGCACCTGTGGTCCCAGCCACTTGGGAGGCAAAGGTGGGAATATTGCTTGAGCCCAGGAGGTCCAGGCTGCAGTGAGCTGTGATCATGCCACTGGGCTTCAGCATAGGTGACTGAGTGAGAGAGACCCTGTCTCCAAAAATACACAAACCACACACAAATATATTTATAACCATTGGTATATAAAATGGCCATTGAGTGCCTTCTCAGTGAGTTTTGCATTTCACACTTGGGGAAATCGGTGTAGTGGAGGGCAAGGGTAGAGAAGCAGAGGCTTCCTCCTCAGACTCTTTCTGGGCCTTTTAAGTACAACCTGAGCATCTTTCAATTCAACTTCATGCCTAAAGGCTGTTGCTTCTTTTTAAAATTAACCTAAAAAAGGGAGTATGTCCAGTACTGTTGCAGCCTTTTTAAAAAGTTTATGCTTTGGCATATTATAATAATAAAGCTGTATCTTCATTTTGTGTTTTGTTAAGTTTGGTCTTGTTTTGAGACAGAGTCTTGCTCTATCAGCTAGGCTGGAGTGCAGTAGCACACTCGGCTCACTGTAACCTCCACCGCCCAGGCTCGCTCAGGCAACTCCCTTGCCTCAGCCTCAGGTTGTGCCCCACCACAGCTGACTAATTTTTTGTATTTTTAATAGAGACGGGGTTTCACCATGTTAACCAGACTGATCTCAAACTCCTGGCCTCAAGTTGATCACCCACCGTGTCCTCCCAAAGTGATGGGATTACAGACGTGTGCCATCTTGCCCGGCCATTGTTTTGTATTCTTTGAAAACCTCTTCATCCTTCTGTAGCTTGCTCCACACCTGCTTTTTTGCCACATTCCTGTGGATCTGGTTGGTAGAGGCACTGCTGCACTGACTTTCTCGGTCAGCACACAGCTTCCCTAGTGCTCGTGTACTGTGCTTACCTGAGCAGCTCAGTCCCTGATGAGGAAAAGCCACCAGGCCGGCTGTTAAACACCAGGTGGTTCCTGCACCTCAGGGAATGTCAAACTCATGTCTGATAATATTTCCCTTCAGGAGATAATCGGAAGTGGCCTTGCCTTGCTCCTTCTGCCTTCCAGCATTTTCCTTCCCTCTCAGGAGACCTTTCCAACCCCCACCATCTGGTGTTTAATTTCATTCGCATTCATTGACTTTCTCTGTACTGGGTTAAGGCTCCATCTAGAGGGTAGGCTCTTGTTTTTTTAAAAAAATCGAAGCAGATTAGGCACGGTGGCTCATGCCTGTAATCCCAACACTTGGGAGGCTGAGGCAGGCGGATCAGGAGTTCGAGACCAGTCTTGCTAATAACATGGTGAAAACCCGTCCCTATCAAAAATATAAAAATTAGCCAGGCATGCCAGCAGGCACCTGTAATCCCAGCCACTCGGGAGGCTGAGGCAGGAGAATCTCTTGAACCTGGGAGATAGAGTTTGCAATAAGCCAAGATCATGCCGCTACACTCCAGTCTGGGAGACGGAGTGAGATTTCATCACAAAAATAAACTTGAAAGCAGTCTTGGGATGGGATATTGAGCACTCTCAACCAGGAAGGGCCTTCTCACAGTCCGTGACACTTGCCTTGGCCAGGTCTTGGGCTGCCCTACCCAAGGTTTTTTCATTAGTGAGGGTGGGTTCTACTAATCTGAAGCCTCTTGAGATTTGGGTTGTATTTAATTTTTTGTTTGTTTTTTAGTAGAAACGGTTTCACCATATTGACCAGGCTGGTCTTGAACTACTGACCTCAGGTGATCATCCGCCTCAGCCTCCCAAAGTGCTGGGATTACAGGCGTGAGCCGCCTCGCCCGGCAAATTTGGGTTGTATTTAAACAGCTTTATTGCACAGCGTGGTGGCTCATGCTTGAAATTCCAGCACCTTGAAAGAGGCCAGCAGATCACTTGAGGCCAGGAGTTAAAGACCAACCTGGCCAATATGGCAGAACACCTTCTCTACTAAAAATTAAAAAATTAACCAGGCATGGTGGCACATGCCTGTAATCCCAGGTACTCAGGAGGCTGAGACACAAGAATTGCTTGAACCCACGAGGCAGAGGTGGTTGTGAGCCAAGTTTGCACCCCTGCACTCCAGCCTGGGGAGCAAAGTAAGACCGAGACCCTGTCTCAAAATAATAATAAACAGATTTATTGAGATATAATTCACACACAGCACAACTCATCCACTTCAAGCATACCATTCACTGGGTTTTAAAGTTGTGCAACCATTAATGCAGCCTAATTTTAGAACATTTTCAGCACCCTGTACTCATTATACTCATTAGCAGTCACTCCCCATCCCCTCCCTCACTCTCTTTCCCATCTCCTAGTAACCATGAATCTACTTCTGTCTGTACCTTTGCCGGTTCTGGACATTTCGTTAAAATACAGTCATATGATATGTGACCTTCACTTAGCCAACATCCTAAGGTATTTCCTCCTTTCTTCCTCCTACTTGAAAATTAGTGGGAGCACCCGCTGCCTTGTACCACCTGCACCTGCCGTCCCTCGTCCTTCTGAGCTTGTCTGCCTCCAATCCAGCCTTGTTTCTGCAGCCCCTGTCCCTTCAGCTCTCCCAGCATCTCTTTCTGGTTCCCTATATTATCTGCCTCAGCCTCAATCTGGAAGGCCTGTAGACCCACATTGTCTGATACAGTTACCCACTAAACACTGGAGCTTTTTTCATTTAAATAAAAATTGGCCCAGCACGGTGGCTCACGCTTGTAATACCAGCACTTTGGGAGGCCGAGGTGGGTTGATTACCTGAGGTTAGGAGTTCAAGACAAGCCTGGCGAACATGGTGAAACCCCATCTCTACTAAAAATACAAACGTTAGCCCAGCGTGGTGGTGGGTGTCTGTAATCCCAGCTACTCAGGAGGCTGAGGTGGGAGAATCACTTGAACTCGGGAGGCAGAGGTAGCAGTGAGCCAACATCACGCCACTGCACTGCAGTCTGGGCAACAGAGTGAGACTCTGTCTCAAAAAATAACAAAAATGTAG